AGAGAGAGAGAGAGAGAGAGAGAGAGAGAGAGAGAGAGAGAGAGAGAGAGAGAGAGAGAGAGATGTACCGGATCATTAGAGTAAACAAGAGTATCGCAGTTATCCAAAGTTTATATGGTGCACTTGAGTAGGTGGGAGAGTAATGTAAGTGGAAAATGCCTGAGAAATGTCTCGGTCTGAGGCCAAGTCCCAGTCCCTTGGCTCATGTCTGTAGGTGAATGATGATGAGATTTCGACCATTCAGAAGGAGGAGAAGAACTCTATGCAGGGGACACATTGAAAAGTGAAAATGGGTGTTAAATCTGCTAGTGTAACTGGAAAGGAAATGACAGAAAGGATAAGACTGGGATGAGGTACGATTTGCCAATTGAACGAGAAGGCTCCACAAATACAGCCGACTGAACTGTATTCAAACACAACAGAGTGCATAACCACTTTGTTGTTCAAATACAAGCAAATGAGTACTCTTCTCCCTCGGATTGCAGTGCACCTTGATCACGGATGTATTCTCCCTCTGAATGCAGTGAATCTTGATCATGATTTTTCCGGTCCGACACAGTCATGATGAAGCTGCGTTGTGTTCAGGGGAAGATGGTAAGAACCATTGAAATAGAGTGCGAGGAAGTCAAAGTCAAAGAACCAGCATAAGTCAACATGTGGCCTGACACGTTTTGCAAAGTCGAAGAACCAGCATTAGGCAACATGTGGCCTGACACATTTTGAGTGTCACACGGTCTCCTCGGCGGGACTCGTACCATCAGCTTCCATTGCGTTACAAGGTTACCCCACCTTCGTGTTTCATGCAATCCCATCTGATGCCCCAGACCATCGCTACGGGATGCCAAAGAAAATTAGCACTCCATTCCTTCTGGTCCGATAGTCTCCTTTACCCCAGTACACTATCACCTCCTTTCCTATCTTTCTTCTTTGCCTTCTCTTATGATTTCAGGGATACAGGACTCCGCCCTTTAATCTCATGTCACACATTAGCTATCCCATTCGAATGATAATCGAGCTGAGACGCGTCTGAGTTTACTGAACATGTTAGTATCACAGAAATGACATAGTCAGAATCTCTGCCTTCTTCTTGATCCCATTTATCCTTTGGTTTGCTGGGTCAAGCTTTCGAGGCTGATCAGGTACTGCCTTCAAGTTGAACCACCAGCAGTTTTTCCCAGCCAGTTGGTTGCCAAGTGGCCGTTAATGCGCCGTGTTTGGGATCGGCCTACCGAGCAAAATGGCTGGTGGTGCCGACCAAATGTTACTATTCGTGTGCATGCCAGCTCGACAAAACTTGGCACGCAGCAGGAATCGGCATCGGGGAAAAGATGATATACTGGAATGTGAGTTCCAAGGTCGACTCCAGCCCTTGTTTAGCGAGATCTGGATTGCGGACTTTGAGCTGAGGGTCGAATATAACTGTCCAACAGTTCATTTGAAAGGGATAAACACCTCTTTGCACTCGACCCAACTGTCACTGGACGAGGTGATGCCCTTAATGTGGTTAAATTTCAACCTTCCAAATGAAGTCGTTGAGCTTTGGCCACATTCCTTCCCAGCACTAGTCAGTCCTTTTTTCATTTCAGACTGCCAATAATACCAAAACTATTTTAGTATTTTCCTCTCAGGACCACGTGGTCGTGGCACGATAGCAATAGCATCGAGGTCGACAAACGTCATCCATCCATGAATCGGTGTACATTGGTTTGTGTTACTCCTTTTAACTTGCTTAAAGTGGGGGAACCTTCTCGTTAGAGCAGAGCAAAGCACCAAACGTACACATGTTTTGGCTACTCAGGCCAATTCAACCGTATCAATTATTTTGAACAATATAATGACTGGGTGTCTTACTAGCCCGCAATCACAACATAACGGTACTACAACCACTTTCTGTGAAGCCTTTTTGACAAAACCTCTTTACAACATTCACGAAAGTTATCATGCCCACGTCGA